GAATACTATATAGCCACAAAAAGGAGCAAAATGCTGCTCCATGAAGTGTGGCTGCACCTCCAAAACACGGTGCCGTGTGCACCAGACGTGTAAGATCACCTATGAGTCCATTTATGGGAAAAGCCCCGCTCTGGTCAAGCCAGAGACAGAAAGCAGATTTGTGGTTGTGGGCTGCGGGGTGTGGGGAGAAACTGCTTCCTGGCAAGGGGCTTCCTTTCCTTTTGGGGTGATGGAAATGCTTGGGACTAGTGAGGTGGGGGTGGGAAGTATTCACTTTATTTATGTTTAAAGTTTATCTGTTTATTTATACAAGCGCTGGGCACAGTCAGAAGCGCGGGAGGGTGAGAGGATTCACCAGAGCCAGAGCGGGGAGCAGAGCAGGCAGAAGGACCGAGGTGCACTGCTGAGGGGAGCAGCGGGCGGCAGGAGAGGTCTGCGCGCCATGTGGGACCCTCGCCCGGCAGCCGGGGATGGAACCGGCGCTGCAGAGGCTGCGGGCAGCTTTGCAGCCAGCACTCAACCGCCGCGCCGCCGGGGAGGCCTGGAAGTACTCACTTTAGACGGTGAATTTGAGGTCATGTGTATTTCACCTGAATACATAATTTGGGAACTGAAAAGAGGGGTCTTTACTGAGTGCCCCGTGTACACTGGCTGCTCTACGAGAGTTTCCATTTCGCAGGTGAGGAAGTGGCTCGGATGGGAAGCAGCTGGCGGGGGCTGGGGTCACGCAACCAGAAAGCAAGGGGGCCCAGACTTGAAGCCACTCTCCGTCCCAATCCTGAGGTTGCCGGAGGTGAATCCACCAGGGGGCTGTGGAAGCTGGTGCTGGAGGGTGGGGGCCTCCTCCTGCCCGTCCTCCAGCCACGAATACCTCTGCTGTGGCCGCCGGGGGGTCGGGGGGACTTTGAGGGGCCCTGGGGTGTGGGGAGTCAGAGCGTGACTGGGAGTGCGTTTCCCACCCCCCTCCCCAGAAGCAGGAATTTTCCAACACAGGGCCCTGCTGTGAATCAGCGTGGTTCACTCAGGGGAGCCGGGCTGTTTTCAGTTTCCGCTGAGTTTCACGCTATGACTCAGTCCGCTGGCCGGGGGACCTGGTGCTGCGCCTGCCGAGCCCAGGCTTGCTCCCCGGGGACATGCGGGCAGCGCCTTGGAGGCCCTGTGGGCTGTCCTGCCTCTGTGACTGTGTGAGTGTGTGTGTGTGTGTGTCTCTGGGGGGGGGGCTGGGCTGTATATTTCTCCCCAGAGTACCCCTGGCACCCCCCCATTTTGCAGATGGGGAAACTGGGGCAGAGAATCCTTGGGCTTTGCACGATGGTGGAGCCCGGGTTTGAACCCTGGCGGCCTGAGTTTGGCCACCCTTGCGAGGATCTGGCAGGAGGAGCAGCGCTGAGAGGCCAAGCAGCCCCACAGGGTTGCCCAGCTCCAAGGTGGTGCAGCCCCGGGGGAACCCTGGGTCTGCGCCCTCCCGGTGACCTACACTGGGCCAGGGGCTGGGGAGGGGGAGGGGCGGCTGAGCGGGCCAGCGGGGGCCCGTTTGTGTCTGGGGGTGTCAGAGGAGGTGCACAGGGCACCGGCTCTAGGACCAGCTCTCTGGAACCCTCTACCCGCCCTGGGTTGTGGGACTGACTGGAACACCCCCCGGGCCCAGGGGGACAGATCTCTTCCACAGTCTCCTGACCTGGACAATTAATAGCTCTTTGGGTCGATGGCACCCCTGCCCTCCCAGGCAGCCCCCCTGCCCTGCGGCCGCTAATGGGCCAGACCCCGCTCCTGGAGTGGGGTGGGGGAGCTCGGGGCTGGACACTGGACAGGGTCCGTGGTTTCCTTTTCCTGCCCACCGCCAGGATCCAGTGCCCGGCAGCTGTCATTTTGGGGCACTTCTTTGTGCGAACAGGGGCAGAGCCTGACTTGTCGTCTCAGTGAGCCCTGCTGGTATGTTCTAGATATACAGATGGGCCCACAGAGCCTTGTGACGTGCCCGCTGCCTCCGGGGCCCTGTGCCTCGTTCCCAGAGAACCCCCTCTCGACCTCCCACCCGGCTGGGGTTCCCCGCGTGAGGGCCCCAGCAGAGGCAGCGCCCCATCAGGTGATTCAGGTGGATGCCCTGCTCTCAGCTGTGGGCGAGCTTTCCGGCCCTGCCTGTGCCCTCCCCGGGGGGGTCGCTAAGAGGGTCCTCGCAACCCGGACAAAGGGCAGTTGTAAGAACGAAACCAGTGAACAAGCATCAGGGCTCAGCTCTGCTCCTGGCACAGCGAAACCCTGAGGGCGTGCGCCAGGCCCTGTGGCCCGTCGGGGTGACTGACAGGTGGAGGGACAGATGGCCTCTCCGCGCCGTGTGGCCGTCTCTGGCCTCCGCAGGCCTGCCCGGCATGTCTGCACTGCCCGCCTGCCACGGCCTGGACTTGGCCGGGAGCCAGGCTGCCGACCTGCCGCTGAGCCCCCGCCGCCCCCCTTCCTTTAGAACGGTCGATATCCGCTCCTTCCTGGCGCCTAATTGCTCCTGTCTCTGCAGATGGCCCCACGCCCCAGCCAGGAGCAGGGTGGGAGGTTTCTGAGAAGTGCATTTCGGGGTGTGTGTGTGGGGGGGTGGCGTGGCCCAGAGCAGAAGCCTGGTTCCAGTCACCCTCCCAACCCCCACTGACTGTGACCACAGGCCGGCTGCTGAACCTCCGTGGGCCTCAGTTTCCCCATCTGTGAAATGGGGTCAGGAGAGTGACCCCTTGCTGCCAGGCACAGTCAGTCTGGTATGGGGGTTTGATTCTTACTGTTTCCCCAGGCCCCCCTGGTTCCCCTGGGTCTGCCAGGTATCCCTGCAGGCCTCTCCTGGCCGCCCAGACGGACGGACATGAGACTGGAGGTCTCGTGGGGAGGGCCAGGGCTGCTCCTCAGTTCTCCCTCCCACTGTGTGTTGCCCCTTGAGCGTGAGTGTGACCCCCAGCATGATGGCTGTGTCCCCTGTGCACGAGAGTGTGCCCCTGGGGTGGGCCTGGGCCTCCTCTTCCTCTCGGGATCCCCCCGGGCTCGGCTTCCCATCGCTGCCCTGACTGCTGCCGTGGCTGCCCGGGCCCCACGGTGGGGGGATGGGAGCGAGCAGGCCGCCGGCGGGAATCGGAGCCTGGTGAACTCTGTGATCCCCTCCCGCGGCTTCAAGGAGAGCCGCCTCAGCTGTCACTGGAGAAGGAAAATAAAATATCCCCGCGGCTTCTCGATGGAGGGGCCCTGGAGCCGCCCACCCTGGCCCAGCTGGACGCTCCCCAGGGCCGGGCCTGTGCTCCCCAGGGCGGGGCCGCTCCCCAGGGCGGGGTGGGAGGCTCACCTGCTCACCTGGGTGGGCCGGTGTCGGGCAGGGCTGCGGGAGGCCTGCCCCGTCTGGGTGTCCCGTGCCCTGCGCCTAAAGGCCAGACCCAGCCTGCAGGATCGGCTTCCCGAGGTCACGCCTGTCTGCCCCTCAGGGCTGGCGTCGGCATCCTGGGGTCCCCGTGTCTGGTTTAGGGCTTCTGCAGAGCCTGTTGTCCCCTGTGGGTGCCTGGGCGTCTGGCCTGAGCCGGGCCTGCACCCCTGCCGTGGCGGCCACGTGGCGGCCCTAAGCAGCAGGCGTCACGGTGCACCCGGGCCCTGGGCGATGGCTGGGACTTTCCTGTGCCCTTGGAGAGGGCTGGCGCCGGGAAGGCGGGCTGTAAGGCTGGAGCTGGGGGTGCTGGCTTGGAGCCGCGGGGCCTGGTGGGGGACCTGAACACAGCCTACCTGGGGCTGCCCTTAATGGGCATCTGCTGGCAGGGATAGCGTGGCACCAGCCTCTGCCCTCCTGGGGAGGGATGCACGCAGACCCACCCGCCGGGGACTGCCCAGGTGTATGGAGCCCGAGTCTGTCCCCCGCGGAGGTGGGCAGGGAGGGGCGGCAGCTCCGGAGGCCTCAGTCCAGTCACTGCTGCCCACGGGGCGGGTTGGCTGCAGTGCCCCTGGGCCCAGCGCAGTGCCGGGGTTAAGGGCGTGTGCTGACCACCGGGCTCCTGGGGCTCCCTCCCAGCCTCTCACTGCTAGGCAGGTATCTCCTGACCACAGTTGTTGCTACAGCCAGGTTGAAGGAGCTGGGTTTGGGGGAGCGAGGGCTGCCTGGAGGAGGGCTGCGGCGGGCTTGTAAGTGTGGGAGGGTCGGTGGGGTGAGAGTGCACGGGGTGCTAGTCTGGGTGTGGGGTGGGATTGGGTGAAAGGCAGCAGGCAGGTCCCGACCCCCTTCACTACCTGCTGTGGTCCTCACCCCTCTGTGCCCCAGGCCCTGTGATACACCTACTGTGTGCTGGGTACTGTGCTGGCCTGCGATGAGCTGGAAGGGCCCACTGTGTGCCAGGTCCCCCACTGTCAGCACCTTGTAGTGTTGACCTGCTGTGTGCTGGGCTGTGCTCGTTATCCACCCTCCCCTAGTCTGAGCCTCGTCCTGCTGGTCCCACTGTGCTGCTGGCTGTGGGGGCCCTTGACCCAGTGATAGACCAGGCAGACGTTTTCCTGGGGCCGCCGTGTCTGTCGGGCTGGCCAAGTAGAGCTGTTGGGTGAGGTGGCAGTGAGGGCCACGGTGTGTCTGGACTGTCAGGCAAGGCTTATTTGTGGGGGCTGGGGAAGAGGGCGTGGTGGGGCTGGGCTTCGAGGGATGTGTAGGAGTTCTCTGGAGAGTCGCTGTGCTGTCAGCTGCACGGATGAGATGTGGGCACAGACCTGTCTGACTCGGGCCCCCGTCTGCTTGGCTGTGAAGTGAACGTGATGGGGAGCATTTGCCTTTTTTGATTTGTTTCCCGCTGAGACTCAAGATGGGACCCCGCCACGCTTCAGTCTCCCTGCCCCCCATGTCTCTTGGAGCTATGTGGGGGAGTGTTGACTGTGCTGAGTATCCACGCTGGGCCGGGCGCTGTTCTGAGCGATGCTCTGTGTTCACTTAACTGTCACAGCACCCCGCCGGGGCTCCCTGCCACCCGCAGCCTGCCGATGGAAGCAGGCACAGGGTGAGTGGCCCACCCAGGCCGGATCCCTGCTGCCCCTCACCTGCAGGCACTGTGGGTGCTCCGTCAATACCCCGTCTCCTTCCCACTCGGCAAATCTGGGCCTCCCAGCGGCCGCGTGGCTGGAGGCCAGGAGGCGCTGGACCCGGGGCCCGGGAGGGAGGATGTGCCATGTCGGGGCCGGGGGGTGCTTTTATTAACCTGCCTGGGGAGCCGGTGGAGGCAAATGCCTGGCCTTGGCAGGCCTCGAGGGCCAGCAGGGTCAGGGCGCCCTGGCCTGGGTGACTGGTGGGAAAGGCCCTGGGGACTGGAAGCAGCCTCCTGGAGGTTGGCCTCTTGGCTCTGACCCCGGGAGAGATTTGCAAGCTGGCGGGGTTCTGGGCGGGGCCTGGGGAAGAGGTCACTGCCTCTGTGGGGCCCTTGGGGATTGTCCCCACGGGCATTGCCTCACACTGTTCCTGCCGTGGCCTTGCCCTGGAAATGGAACGCAGCCCCCTGCTCCTCTGCCACCCCCTTGCCAGCTGCCCTGGTTGGGCTGGTCTCACCTCCAGGCCTGTGCATCTGCTGGGCCGTCTTCCCGCTGCTGCCGTTCCTCCTGCCCCGCAGGCCCACCGCTCCTGCCCTTGGGCCCTGGGCTCAGGTCCCACCTCCAGGGAGACCCAGCCTGACCTCTTGACCCCCGCCCCTGTGCCAGTCAGTGCTGCTCACTCTGGCTTGGGCCGCCTGCTGAGGTGACTTGGGGATTGTCTGGACTGGGGGATCGTCTGGATTAGGGGATCGTCTGGCTAACTTACTGAGGCGCTGAGGGGTGTTTGTGTGGGGTACGGTCCTGGGGTCCTGGCCTTGTGCAGAGGCCAGGCCAGGCTCTTGCTGCGGTGGGCCTGAGCTCCAGCTGCTCCCCGGCCGGTGGCCTCCCTGGTGGCTGCTGCGTCTGCGCCCCTTATCTGTTTATGGGGAGCTAGGTGACTCTGCTTCTCCTGAGTCCAGTAGAGGTCTGGGGTACACCTCACACCAGTGTCTTCGGGGCACTGTCTGGTGTAAGTCGTCACCAGAGAGTGGCGCACATGGACATGGGTTGGGGGGGTTGTCCCGGCCTGTGGGGAGCCTTCGATGTCCATTAACGAGGCCCGCATTTTCTCCCGCAGGTCTCCCCAGGTTTGGAGGACGTGAGGTGCTGGCGGCCGCTTCTGGTAGGTCCCCAGACGGGGGTGTCCGCTCTAATTCGTGGGTACTCGGGTGGCTGGGACCTGGTGTGGGAAGTGGGCCGGGAGCTGCTGGGGGGACAGGGGTCCACCTGGGGGTGTGGTGAAGGGCTCGGCTCCAGGCTTGCCCAGAGGCGCCCCGGCCTGGTGCAGTGGTTCTCAGATGGAGCCTGCATAGTGGGCGGGGGCGGTGGGTGGTTTCCCCTGGATCTGGGTCCACATCAGATGGCTGCAGACTCGGGGTGCTGGGTGGTCTCCGTCAGAGGACGCCCGTGACTGTGAGCCCCGCGGTGCCCAGCGGGAGAGGGAGCTGGCTGCTGGGGGTGAGGCTCGCCACTGGATTCCCAGGGCGCCTCGTTCCCCATTGTAAACTGGGAGACCCCCAGGACAATTGAATGAGCTCAACAGGCTAGTCTCACGCCTGGTGCTGCTTGCTGGCACTCAGTGGGCGGTTATCCTCATTTTACAAAGGGGGAAACCGAGGCATGATGGCTCATCACTCCCTGCTCTGCTGGAAGCAAAGAGCTGGGACTCGATCCCTCGTCCCCCCATTACCCTCCAGGGCTCGGCTGGTCCCTCCCCAGCATGTTCCTTACCCAGACGGGGGCTGGTGGGGGCGGCCTGTGCCTGCAGCTGACCCTGGTCTTGGGTTCAAGCTGGGCTTGGGGTGTCAGGAGAGAGGGGAGTCTGGAGTGGGTCAGCGCGGTGGGCAGTGGCTTGAGCATAGGTCGGGCTGGCCTCGGTGCCTTTGATTTTATGTTGTGTCTCAGCCGGGATGGCCCTGAGGACCTGCGTGACCTCGGGCGGGCCTGGAGCGCCGGTGCCTCCGTTTGCCCATCTGTGAAGTGGGTGTGATCAGACCTCGGTGGAGTTGGCGGTGAGCGTGTTGTCGCTGAGGTGTTTTTGCAGCAGCCGGGCAACTGGGCCTGAACCCACAGCTCCCTTCCTGTGTCTCATCTCTGTCCCCAGACACAGGGGCCCCCTTGGGGGAGGGCGGGCTGGCGACCCTGGCTTCGGAAAGGTGGTCACGTCTCCAGAGATGCTGGCGACATAGTGAGGGAAAACACAGGCAATGTGAGGTGTTAGTGGAGGACCTCCTGGAGGGGTGTGCAGAGTCCAGAGCCATGGTGAGCCCCAGCTGCTCTGTGCCCGTGGAGGGAGGGAGGTCAGAGTGCAGCCGCCCTGGCGGGTGGCTGGGCCACAGCTGTCCCCCTCAGCAGCAGTGAGCGTGCATCAGCCGCCCAGCTCTGCCACTTACTGCCCAGGCTCTTCCGGGTCAGGCGGGTCGAGGGGTGTCAGCCCCCCGGGGGTCAGAGAAGCAGAGCCCCTCCTCACCCTCTATTTCCATGTGGGTTGGGACTTGCACTTTCCCACCTTGGGGTGGCCACCCACCTCTGTTGTCCCCCCGCTAGCGCTAGCTGGTGCGGGTGGGGCGCAGTCCTGAGAGGGTCACGTGTGCAACCCCATTCTGCAGCGGGGTAAACTGAGGCTGAGGGATGGGAGGGGGCCGGCCCAGAGAGGCCTGTTGGGAGGCCCTGGATGGGCATTCTGGGTTCCGGGGCCCCTTCGTAGTGACCAGGCCTTCTAAGAACCTGGGTGAGGAGGGTCCCGGGTTGCTGAGAGGCCTCCATGCCTCAGTTTCCTCGTCTGTGAAGGGGCATTCTGCAGGTGGGTTGAGGCTCGTGGGCTCAGCGCATCCGTGCTCGAGTACTGTCGAGAGGGCTGTGGGTAGGATGAAGTGGCGACTACCTCCTGAAGGAGACAGAGGCTGCACGTGCAGTGCTGTTTGCTGGGAAGGAGAAGGGGCTCCGGGGTGTGGGTGGTGGCTGTCGGGGTGGGCCTTCCAGAGCAGGTGGCATCTGAGCGGGTGTCTGGTGCGAGGGTGTCCCGGCAGAGAAGGGAGCCACATGCAAAGGCCCTGAGGCTGCAGACCGGGCCTCTCGTTCTTCTGGGTCTGTGGGAGTCACGTGGAGGGGTTTGCTAGGGTGAGGACTGTCCTTTGTTCTTGAGCCTCTGGGGCCCCCCAAGAAGCAGGAGGGAAGAGCAGGGCTGTGGGCTCCTGCCTCCCTGGCAAGGGCCCCAAGGCAGCCAGCAGCCCGCTGCGTCTTGGAGATGGGGGGCTGTGGGGATGTGGGTGGCGTTCCCCCCAAGGTGATCTGCCCAGCTGGGCTTTCTGTCTGGCCTTCCCGGTGCCTTTGAAGTTGAAAGGAAGGCGGCCTTGCCCGGGGTGTCTCCTTCCGCTGCCCCTCCGCCTCTCCGTCCTCCATCAATCCACATCGCGGCTAATGGGGAGCCGTCCTCCGTGGCTGAGTTATCTGCTCGTCATGCCAGTGGCCCACCCGAGGACGATAAAAGGGCTTTTTGTCTGCAAGCACTTAGCTTCCTCCTCTGGGGCGATCCATCACGTCTGCGGGAGGAGGGAGGCAGACGGACGGGGGAGGGGCAGGGGCCCCCACAGTGAGCCCAGTGCTCCCAGGGGCCTCCCGGTGGGACCCTAGTGGCTCCTCAGCCCCGAGACAAGGCCAGCCGGGGCCAGGGAGGGGCCAGGGAGGGGGCTGCTGGCGCAGGGGTGCCCCAGGAGACCCCTCCCCAAAGACAGAGGTGCTGGGCGGACCCCGGCTGCAGGGCTTCTGGTTGGAGACTGGGGGGCCTTTCCGAGACCCTCCTTGCCTGGGAGGTCTGGTGGGGCCGGACGCGGGGGCGGGGGAGGAGCAGGCATTTCCGAGAACCGACGATAAGCAGGGACGTGGGCAGGTCACAGGGCCAGATGCCCAGCACCGGCCGTGCCCCGGGGCCCTGCTGAGCACGGGGGCTTCTCGTCGGCCCCCACCAGCTGGACACTCGCCATCCAACGCATGTGGAAACCGAGGCACGGGGCGGCCATGTGACGTCCGGTGTGCCGTGGCGGGGAGCGTGTGAACCGGGGCGCCTGCTCCGGAGTCCGGTGCTGTGGGCCCTTGGGGAGCTGCGTTCGGGTGGGGCCTTCCCCAGGGGGGGTTTAGCCTGGTGGTGGGTCCAGCTTCTAGGTGGGGGCACTGCCTGGTACAGATCGGGGTGAAGGCTGGGATGCGTGTGGCAGGACTGGGCAGTCAAGCTTTCCGCATTCTGGGGGAGCAGCCATCGGGACCCACGCAGGCAGGCGAACCGTCAGGCGTGTACGGGTGGGTGGGAAGGTCAAGGGACTCGAAGGCAGGACCCCACCTCCCTGCACGCCTGCAGGCCCCACTGGCTGTGCCCCTGGTGTGTCCGGCGGGTGGAGGAGGTGGCTGAGGGGGCTTCTCGTCTCTTTGCAGCTCAGGATGCTCAGCCCCTGCAGGCTGTGCCTCCCCCTTCCGCCCTCCCCGGCCCTCCCCTCCCCACAGCCCCCTCCTGTCCCCACAGGCCACCCTCAAATGACAGCAATTAATGGTGCCTCTGATGGCGGCTGCGGGGAAGGCTGACAGTTGAGCGTGTCTGCCTGTGGCTGGCCCCGTAATCGGGCCCGGGGGACGCCCTCGGCGCTCCCTGCCGCCTGCCTGCGGAGCCATCACTCACGGGCGCCGGAGCCGCTGGGGCTGGCGCGTGACCGGCAGAGCCTGCCCCTGGCCCCCAGCTCCTTCCCTGTTGTCCCTTTATTGTGATCTTTTCTCTTTCATAAACGGGTGGGCTGGGGGGGGGGGTGACCCTTGCCCTGCCCTGGCGAGTATGTGCAGCCGTCTGGAGACACCCTTCTCCACCGGGACATGCCCTGGGGGGGTCAGCCCCTGTCCCCAGATCACCCCCCAGCTCTGCTCACCGCCTTGGGGCCACCCCCTCCCTCCAGGGCCCCCATCCTTTTGTCTCAGCCCCCTGGGGGATGGGTGGGTGGAGCTGAGGAGCAGTGTCCTGTCCTGGACAGCAGGCACCGGTCAAGTGCCCAGCTGGAGCCCTGGTTGCGGGCAGCCTTCCTGATGGGGGCGGCTCCCCGCGCGGGAGCCTTGTCAGGTGGGGGGCTGGTGTGTCTCGGGACAGGAAGCCTCGTCAGCCCCGTCCCCGCTGGGTGGTGCTTACCGATCATCACTTTGAAGCAGCAGTAATGAGGCCCCTGCTGTATGCCCAGGGCCCACACACAGCTGGCACTTTTGCCGTGGCGCATTTTAGTCTACGTGGCTCTCCAAGCAGGCCGCTGTTGTAACCGCGCTGGTGGCTGGCGATGGCGGCTGGCGCAGTGACCGGTCCGAACGGGCCGGCAAGGAAGGATGCCCCTGACCGCCTCGTCCAGGGCCCATGGTCAGGGGCTCTGGCTGGGCAGGGCTCGCTCAGGAACCAGCAAACCTGACGGAGGGAAAGAGTCTCCAGCCCTGGACTGGAGCTTCTGGTGCTGACATAGGCACGTCAATAAAATCAGCCCCATGGCAGTGTCGTGAACCGCAGCGAGAGCCCCCACCCCGGGGCGCTGGTGTGTGCTTTTGACAACTGTGAAGGTTCATGTCGCAGCGGCCACATCAGGGCAGTGTTCCTGTCACCCCCAAAGAGCCCTCACCCGTCCCCCGCTCACCCCCAGCCGCTGTCGTGCACACTCTGAAACGTCTGGGTGTCCGTGATCAGACGGCCCCGAGGTGCGTGCTCTGGCCTGGCCCGCTCTCCGCCGCAGGTTTGGGGATTTCTCCGAGTCCCGCCAATGGGTCAGTTACAGAGGCGCCTCCTTCCTGCTGCGCCTGAGGGCTGTCCTGGCTGTTGAGCTCAGCCGGGGGCTTTCTTACAGCCTTCTCTTGCCTTATTTCTTGGGTTGGCTGGGCAGAGGCCTGTGGGCTTTGCGGGTCAGCTCGCGGTGAGGTCCTGAGCCCCCTCTCACAGACAGACAGACAAGCTGGGAGGTCAGGGCTTAGCAGAAGTCCTTCCTGGAGCACCCAGGCTTTCTCCTCTAGCTCCGTCTGCGGCGGGGTTTCCTGTTTCCACCACCGGTGGCTGGTGGGCTGCCTCCTCTGTGGGGCTCCCCTCTGCGGGGCTCCCCCTCTGCAGGGCTCCCC